ATCCATCCATCCATCCATCCATCCATCTATCCATCCATCTATCTATCTATGTGTCTGAGTGTGTTTGTGTCAAAAGTCATATTCACTCTTTTTGTGAAATCTTGGGAACTCGGCTGAAGGGTTGCACTCTGGGTATTTGGTTTTAAAAATGTGTCAGAAACTCTTTAGTCTGCAGATCTTCTGATAGACAGTGACTGTAAATGGGCTTAGTGGCAGGTGGTGGAAAAATTAGTGTGTATTTGTTCTTAGTGGCATTCCAGTGCTGCATGTGGCTGAAGGTATGTTTGTGTCGCCTGACAAAGCAAGGAGTAATGACAGATTGAAAACTATTCCCAGTGGAACAGTGGCTAACAAGCGATGAATAGACTATAGACTATATATATATATTAGTATATTATATTAGTAGTCTTGGCCCATATCAGAACAATGTACACCAAAAAGAAAAGAACGGTGTTAAGGATTATCAAATGAGATCACTTTTAGTGTGTTTTCTTACTGGTTTTCATTTTATTTAATATTGTGATAATTACTAATACTATTGTGCATACAACTACTTTAAAATAAAAATAAATGTAAAAAAATAGTCTAAAATAGTCATTTGTTGCATTCTGAGCTAATGCGGCTAATTGACTTACCCCAATTAGCTCTACCTCAAATGTGTGTGTGTATAGGAATGTTCTTACTGTCAACACTGTGGTGTGAGAGAGTGGGCATTGACTTGTGCAGCAGGCTGTGCTCGCTCCCCACAGACTCCAGTGTTTAATTAGTGAGAGAACATCCATCCTCCTTAGTCCTCATATTGGCAAACCCTGAGTGAGACTGTAACCCTCTCCCTCACCCTCTCTTAAATACCATGGGACTGAACCTACAGAGATTAATGGCCACGTACAACAATGCAGAATTGCGTGCATGTGTCTGTAAAGTGTTTCTCATACTAATGGGGGAGGGAGGGAGGGGAGTGTTGCATGTAAAGTATATTTATCTTCAATGTGCAATTTCTTTTTGGGATTGCAGCAGGTGGATTTAATTGGATTTGGGAAGTAATCCCATAGCACAGGTCCTGCCGGCCAACACAGGTGTCAGCACTTCATGTGTCCACGGATACTGATCGAAGAAACCCTTCTTATCACCTCTAATGAAGACTTTAACTTGACCCCTGTGCATCCTGTCTCTCTCCTCCTTCACTAAAATGTGTTTTATTCCTTTGTCTCCATCCTTACCATAATCGGCCACACCTTTCCTTACCCACTCTCCCCTTTTCCCTTTTACCCATCCCCCATTCATTGTCGGACATCTTTTCATTCCCCCCTCCTGGTATTCCCACTGTCTTCTATACATCTTTTTTTCTGCCTCTCCCTTCCCCTCCTGCCTGTCATCCCTCAGCAAAGTACGGGTAATACTGTAGTGGTGGTTGTAGTAGGGGGTGGGTCCCGCCTTACTGGCTGATTTAATGAGATCCTATGGGGATCGGACTGGAGCTATCAAACGCTGTGCACAGATATATATCCAAGGCTGTCAAAGGAATGTGCCTTTTCTGATGGTGACATAGAGATGTTTTATTTTTGCAGTTAATAGGAAGACAGGTCCACACACAGAACAGTGTAGGAAGAGAAATAAATAATGCGTAATAGGTGTGTAATGTCTCGTCCAATCAGGGAGACTGTGCGAAATAGAAGAAAACAAATCTGACCTGACTATTGATGATCTTCTTTTCTTGGCTGACCTTTTCCATGAGCAGCTTTAGGGAAAGGATGGGGGGTGGGGTGGGGGGGGGGGGGTTGCTAGTTGTAACAAAATTATTGTAGATGCAGCTTTGAGGGAGCCATCTGAAGAAAGTAGAACATCACAGAATAGGTACTGAGGAAAACCAAGTGAATGATTACAAAAAGAGACATGAAAAATTGATGGGTGTGTGTTTGGTAGTAAATCACCTTGACGACGACAGACATCCAAAGGTTTAGAGAAAGATAAACATAGTCCTATGGCTGTTTGTTGTCACTGTCAGCTAAAACACCAGATTTGTCAATAGATCTACTTTCAAAGGATGGGAATCTCCAGCGGAGTAATCTGTTAGCGCTTAATGATAGCAGGACTATGTAAAAGACACAAACATAGGATTCCCAAAGGCTTTTCTTAATGACATTAATGACACAATTCTCATTATTAACATAAATATATATTTTGAACATTAAGGAACTGCTGGAGGATACTGAGATAATTTTATGTGACTAACACATCCAGTTAATGTAACACAAAAATTAAGCTTGTTATTGTTCGAAGATTTCTAAACCTAAAATATTAACCTTTAGAATTATTGTCAAACACATACAACAAACACACACAACAAATTAACAAAAAACAAAACAAAACAAACAAGACATGTTTTCCACAGTTTCAATAAACGGTTCTGTCAAAGTGAAAGCTAAAATATAATTTGTTTCCCTTTGGTACATGTAGCTCCTTTAGCAACGTGGAAAGTCAAGCACTGAGGCTCTAAGCTTTGTCACTGACCATGGTCCTGAATGCCTGTTCTGGTCACACCATATCTGTTAGAAAGGCTTGGGTCTTGAAAACCACACTGAGAGTAGATCAATTCCATAACAAATGACATATATTTTGTTATTTAGAATTAGCTGGTCTACATAATCCCAAACGTAGCTGAAGCTAAACAAATCAGTCTCTGGTTGATCTTACTCCCTGGTGCTGTAAAACCGATTTCCATTACGGCCCCCACATGTCTGTGAATGAATACGAGGATAGATAGGGTTAGATGCTTCCCTTTCTTGCGGTGCCGCTATTTATCCCTCACTTCCTATGCACGGCACAACCTCAAGTGTTTGCTAAGAGTTGTCAGGGGGGCGGCCGGGGGGTTCACAGCTACTAGGAAGCCACTATGTGTGAGCCCATTTCTTCCCACTGCATGGCAAGTGGCTGTGAGGCCCGGAGGGACCAGATATATCCGGAGCTTGGCCTAACTTCACTTTACCTCACAGTATATTGTGATGCCACTGTCATGAGATTGGGCTGTGAAAAGCCAGTCCCTTGAGAAACCGGTGGGAAATTGGTATTTTCATTTACAGTGCTGCTGTCATGCGGAGTCCAACACATTGAATTAGGCAGGTGGCATTACACAGCCAGTCTCTAATGACTAGTAAATGTTATGTAAGCACATGTTGTAGTTGATCAAATCCCAGTGATAGGGAAGTATGTGACAGCAGATGCCAGGAAGCCTTAATGTAAATATCCTGCTTAGTTTTTTTCAGATGGTCTCCAATAAAGTTGTCTTCCTTGCACGGTTTGAATCTTTGCCTTCCTATCATACTCTGGGTGCAGGTCATTGAAAGTGTGTGTGTGTGTGTGTCTTTGAGCTTCCTCTCTTCCCTTCATCCTTTTCTCTCAAAGCCATGTAGTGTTGCTAGGACAACCCCTTGTGGTCCCTGTTGCATCGCAGAGGCGCTCAATGCCAGCACTCAGGGAACCTCCTCGCACTGGGAAGGCAGCATAAAATTGGGATAATCGCTGTCGATTATGGGACACAATGGGTGCAGCTTCTGAAAGATTCATTCATTCTGGAAAAAGAGACTGTGGAGGGGGAAGAGAAAAGGGGCGCCTTGGTCCCTTCACTGCTCTCCCACGGTGGGCACAGGCATGACATCAGTGGGCTAAAAGAACTGGTATTCTGGACATGCCCACTACGCTCCCCTCCTTCTATACCCATATACTCCTCCAATTCAAGCCCCCTCCCTCCCTTCTTTTCTAGCCTATGCCAGTTTGGATGCAGCGCTTGGCCGGATGAGTTGGGGCCACTGCTACTGTTTGCGTGTGAAACAAAGCCCCTCAGAAGGAAGAGAGAGGAAGCAGAGAGCTTCACATGGTACCAGCCAAGAGCAGGGATGGCTGCCTCAGCCTCCCCCTCACTGGCCCCCTTTTTGCTGAGAGGTGCTGGTGTGACCCCACCTCCCCTCCCCCCTGTTCCCCAGTGTCCCTCGCTACCCCCTTGTAACCTCTTCATCTATGTGTTCGTCCCTCACTCTCATCCCCGAAAATGCTCCTTTTTCTCCCAAGAAACCCTTTGAATGAGTATGACACGTCAAGGGATTTAGGATGAGTGATTTCTCATGACACAACCTTTGTCAACAGAGATGGCATTCCTTTGCCTTTTGTTGTGCCGTTGGTCATTTGTCTAAAGAGGAAATAGCTTTCCAACACATTTCCCTAATTAGAATAATGTGATACTGCTCAATACGATGTAAGGTCCCATGCTGCTGGGAGAGCGAGGTGAAATTAGTGTGACGACATCCTCACATGAATCATGTTGGTCAATTTACTTTGGATTTCAGAGCTTTGAAGTTGATTGAAAGGGTTAATATTTAAGTCTATTTGCAGGGTGTATGTGTGGACGTGAGTGAGTCTATAAACTCTCCCCATGAAAAGTACAAGATTGATGTATTTTTAATTTGTGATAATTGTTGGGCTACACTACGTATGAAAAATACTACACATCCGTGGTATATATTAATTTGAGATGTTTAAGGACCACAATGTCTAAGGAAGGACCATACAATTTTGCAACTTTAGCAACAACATTTTTTTGCTTTGTTGTTCATTGGAATGGCTCTAACTGACCCTGGCCTCATTAAACAATAATAGTTGGCATTCCTCAGTCATTTTTACCTCAGCATAAAAAAAAAAAAAAAAGAAAAAGAAAAAGACAACTGCTGTCACTACTGTCCACATTGTGCTATTAGCGGGCATCATCATGTTCATCACAACATGGCCTTTGCCCATTCTGCCTCGAAGTGGGATAAGTGTGAGAGTGAGCTCTCTGGGAGGATTACAGTGCTCATGGAATGGATGGATGGATTTGGACTTTAAAGCTCAGATATTGACTCCTGCCACAATTTTTTTTCTTTTTCTAGTGAGCATTTGTTATCACAAACTATTTTTTGAGAGTTTTTGTGTACATACTTAATGGGCGGGTGAAAGTGATGCAGTCAAGAGTTGATGGGGAGGGGGGTGTTGGCAGGAATGTTACAGACATAAAGATGGGGTAATTCAAGTTCCGCTGGCTGTGGATGGGTCGGCTCTCGAGGTCATGCTGACTTACTCCATCCTGAATGCTTTGTAGGAGCTGGTGCACGGCTGAGAGCTCATAGCCGTCAGCAGCAAAGCTCTGGTGTGTACATCTGATGACCGTACCTGCGAAGGTGGTCACATCTGGCGACTTTGCTCTTTTGATGGAACTAGGTTGAATGTAACTGTGCTGATTCACTCCTGGATACCAAAGGCTGGAGGTTTTATCTTTTCATAGTGGATGTATATAGCAATTACCTCAACTCCAGCAGAAATGAAGTGAGTACTTTGTTAAAAATCTAACTCCTTCCATTTTACTTCTTTTAAATTTAACCAATTATTATGTTCAATGTATTAGTACTGTCATCTGTCTACCTGTAAATTGATTTATGTTTTTATATTAAGGTCACTTATTTAACTTTCAAGTTGTAGTTGACTGAAAAGCTTTTTAAATTGTTTTACGTAGTAGTGACTTTGATGAGATGGGAGCGATGCAGCAGTGGTCCTCCCACAGCACAGCTGACGTTTCTAAGTGCGTATGCACTCATGTGGAATTATTAAAGACCACTTACAGAATAACAATAACACCATTGAGAGCATTAGGGTTGTGAGGAACTTCGTCCAATGCGCCCTATTGATATGATCGCCCTTTCTTTGATGAAGTTTCAGCCTTAAACCAACCCTGACAACCAACTTGATTGATTTCTACGAGGTGCAGTGACTTTATAGGGGATCATCGGCAGGGAGGCTGTGAGGACAAAAAAATTAACTTCACCATTGATGCTTTTGTTTGTGCTGTCCAGGCCATGATCCCCAGGGTGAGGTGAAAGGTCGGAGTCACTTCCTTTCTTCTGTGCTTCGCTTTGTTACTTGTTGTAGCAGATCATTTCCGAGTTCATTGAAGCCGAACGGCAACATTTGGATATTGTTATGTTTTGTACGAAAGCAGACACTGACAAAATGTGGAGGAGAAATTGATTGATTGTCGGAAGAATTACATCTTTCTTTCTTTCTTTCTTTCTTTCTTTCTTTCTTTCTTTCTTTCTTTCTTTTACTCAGTTCTTGTCCTTCATTCATATAATTTTCTATAAGAATATGAATTCTACAAGAACATTACTGTCTTCAGATTAGGTTCCTAACTTAGTTAGCCTTAATGCTTGCCAACCTGCTGCTCTACATTATAAATGTGCTTTTTAATTTATAAAGTGTAAATTTGGTTTGTGAAAAAAAAACAACTTGTTGATGACATGGGTAAAATTATTATATATATTTTTTTAAATCCTTTGACCAAATATCTTTACCAATGGGTAAAGCATGGCTTTGCCACTGTAATAAAAAAAAAGCACACTCAAATGTGTCCTCTTGTGCTCAATCATGAAAACACATGATGAAGGTGTTTTCAGGTGTTTGGTTTGATGCTCATCGATGCTCTGTGTTCAACCCAGATGTGACTGAATATCATTGCAGAGACGCACAATTAATCTGATTTCCCATTTCCTGCCTATTCTGACAGTGCCAACAGCATGCCTAAACAAGTGGAGGTGAGAATGCACGAGAGTCACCTGGAGTCCAGCGAGACCAGGCCTCGGTCCAGATGTGCAGCTCTCTGGGCCAAGATGTGTAAAAACCTCCTGCTTACTCTGACCGTTCTGGGTAAGTCATCACGGTTATATCATTGAAGTTGTCAAAGTTAGCTGGAAGCCTGAGGAGTAAACAGGACACACTTCAGTTGATCAGCACCACTGAGCTCATCCAGCATCCTGTTAATCAGAACTGAGTTTACAGCTTCGTGATGCAATCAGTGTCTGCTCACTGTAGCAGACGGTACAATGACTGGCTGCCCTGACCTTTATCAGCTCTGTGCCACCTGTTGCTGACATCCTACTGCATCAGCAGACACCCCCGCCCCCCAAAAAAGGCAGTAATTACAGCAGTGGCTCACTGCACCACAGGAGAAGAGTTAATGAAAAGAAGAAAGGCCATGGAAAAGGAAGTTTGGCCTTCATTTGGATTTCTATTAAACAGGTTTAGTCCGTGATTACTGTCACAACATTAATGTGATATGACAGACAACATTATTCCCAAAGGCCTATTTTGGTCTTGCATGTAATTGTCAATGTTGGGTGTGTTCATCACATCCCATGTGTGGACTCCTGGAGGACAATTGAGCCAAATCGATCTTCTGTTACCGCAGTCTCATTTGGCAAATACAGAGAGACTGTTGAAAATGCATGGGGAAAGAAACCCTATTCAAAAGAATCGCATGACACCGAACAGCTGAAATTAATTAGTCTAACCTTCACTTCTCAAAGTCCTTGGGAGAGGTCTGTCATTGTTTCTTTTTTGGTCAGCAGGTCAGGGTGTGACAGGCTGATGGAGGAGACATGAATCAGAATTAGCAGGATTAGCAGGATCTTGAGATTCATCGTGAAGGTTGAATCACAAAACAAAAAATAACATAAAGCTTGCTATGTAGCTGGATTAGACCGGTGAGGCAAGAAGGGATCTGAAGATAACAGTTACATTATTGTTGCTCTCATTTCCCTGTCTCTACGATGCTGCTATTCCTCTTGCCAATAGCCTTTTTTCCTGCAGCTACACCATACCTGCTGCTGTTCTCTATTGTTAATTAAAGATCTAATCTTAATCAGGCATGTAATTCACTCAGGTTTTTCTTTAATTTTGTCCTACATCCAGAGTTTTAGTAAAAACAACCCACTGTAATTAATTCACTCCTGTGGTAAATGTCTCGTACTTTAGGTGTGATCCTGGGAGCTGTGGCAGGGATGCTGCTTCGTGTTGCCTCCCCAATACATCCAGATATTGTTATGGTGATTGCATTTCCTGGAGATATCCTAATGAGGATGCTGAAGATGTTGATCCTGCCACTCATCATCTCCAGTTTAATCACAGGTACAGTGGATTTTTTCTTTTTGGTTTTATTTGCCGGAGAAGGGTGTGTTCATTAGCACTTATTAGGGTAAAGAAACATCAAAGACAATGACGTATCCAGGTCATGTTAAGTTAATATTCTCTGGTTGTATATATAAGATTTTGTTTCTTCACAGCCTTCAAATTAACGATTTTTATATGATTTCTTGATTGGATAAGGCCAAGCAACCACAACCACAAAGAGAATGTTGCTTCTTTTTTCTAGGTCTGGCTGGTTTGGATGCCAAATCTAGTGGTCGGCTGGGCACCAGAGCAATGGTCTATTACATGACCACCACTATTATTGCTGCTATCCTGGGAGTCATTCTGGTGTTAGTCATCCACCCTGGTAATCCTAAACTGAAGGAGAATCTGGGCGAGGGTGAGAAAAACGACGAAGTGTCAAGCCTGGATGCTGCCTTCGATCTGATTAGGAACTTATTCCCAGAAAACCTGGTGCAGGCCTGTTTCCAACAGGTGAGGACGAACAGATCAAAGTTGACGTAAAGTGCAACCTCTTAGAGGCTGTTATTGCAACTCGGTTATTGTCACATCAACAGCTTAACTGTCGAATCGGCTCAACACTAAGTTATTTTCTCTGCTTATCTTCAGATCCAGACGGTAACGAAGAAAGTGGAGGTGGTTGTCGAACAGGACATCAATGCTACAACCATGGAAGGGCTTGTGGCAAACATCACCAAGGAGCCGCAGTTCATCATCAAAAAGTCCCTGCAGTTTAAAAGTGGCATGAATGTCCTGGGTGTGTGACATCGGAAGAAAAACAAACTGTTTATAAACTTGAGTATTATGTGTTTCTGAATGAGAAATGTTCTTAGAGATGCTGTACACACAGCATGCAAAATGTGCACAATGTCAATGCTAATTAACATGCTTAAGCTACGCAATCAACATTAAGCATGGTGCCCATCTTTCGTAAATGGTCAAGCGCACTCTTTTGTGCTGATACACTTGCATCTTAAATATAGTTTAATTAACCATACATAGACCACACACTGTAAAGGCACATATTTGACAGTAGGCCATCGCTCCACCTCGCAGTTATTTAAATAATTTGACCCATTATGATTTTCTGTTACAGGTCTGATTGGTTTCTTTATTGCATTTGGCATCTGCATGGGCAAGATGGGAGAGAAGGCCAGACTCATGATTGAATTCTTCAGCATCCTCAATGAGATTGTGATGAAACTTGTGATCATGATCATGTGGTTTGTATCACTCAAAATCTCATTGACTCATTCTAATGCTCATTTAGTCTTTTAGCCACAAAAGACATTCGCTGCATTATAGAAATATTCACAAAAGCAGTGGTTGATGAATATTTTGCCCCTCATCTGTTACACTTTGCAACTGATAAATAAAAAAAAGAATACAAGTAATAAAATAAAATATCCATCTGTCAGGTACTCTCCCTTCGGTATTGCCTGTCTGATTTGTGGCAAGATCATTTCCATCAAGGATCTTGAAGTGGTCGGAAGGCAACTGGGCATGTACATGGTGACAGTGATCATTGGCCTCATCATTCACGGAGCGATCTTCCTGCCCAGCATCTACTTTGTTATCGTCAGGAAAAACCCTTACACCTTCTTCCTCGGGATCTTCCAGGCCTGGATCACTGCCCTCGGTACAGCTTCCAGGTGAGATTCGGAAAAAGATAGACCACAGATGTTGAACTTCTTTTATTGCTGGATGTAACGTGTCGTCTTGATCCGGTCTCTGCAGTGCTGGTACCCTGCCCGTCACCTTCCGTTGTCTGGAGGAAAACTTGGGTATCGACAAAAGAGTCACACGTTTCGTACTCCCAGTGGGTGCCACCATCAACATGGACGGAACTGCTCTGTATGAGGCTGTGGCTGCAATTTTCATTGCCCAAATGAACGGTATCCATCTCGACATGGGTCAGATCGTCACTGTCAGGTAAAGGCAGATGTTCCAATATCTCTTATTTAGCTTATTTCCCAGTAGAGATCAACTGGTCGACTGCATAGTGGTAGTCAGCAGATGTTTTTCTGTTTCTTTCTGAGATCATTTTATGCAGGTGGTCTGTGTCAGAGAACACATAGAGTACATTGAGCTAAGAAAGCCCCAAGCTGATTCTAGTATAAATAAGTAACATTTACCAAAAACACAAGATATTGCAATTGGCAATCATATCGCAATTGTTGCATCTCTAATTCCCATTGTATTTGATTGCCATTAATAAAGTCACACAGCTACAGTTTAATAGAGACTTCACAAACAATATAATAATATTTAGAAAGAAAACGAATGATGTTTCGTCAAGTTCTGGGGTGTAAAATAGCACCCATTTGGATATCATTGCGAGTAACAGTACCATTTGTGACCCTCTTGTTTACCAGTTTTATTTTTAGAACATACCCCACGGGCACCTTAGGTAGTCCACCGGGGCTACCATGTTGCCCCTGGGCACCACACTGGCTTAGATTAAAGAGTCCACTTAACATATTTGAACCTCTTATAGTGAAGGATGGACGAGCCACTCCTGTGCACTCATCTGCTGTTTCATGCACAAGGACCATACAAATTCAGTGGTTTTATAAGTAGCATTGAGGCTTCACTTGCATCTGAAGAGCTGTGTCAGGGTGTAGAGGGGGGTTCACTGTGAATATGAATAGACTGGTGTAGGGATTTTTAAATGTTACATTGTACTCTACTGTTCTGTACGTTCATCCAGCCTGACAGCCACATTGGCCAGTGTTGGAGCAGCCAGTATTCCCAGTGCTGGCCTTGTGACCATGCTGCTGATCCTGACTGCTGTAGGCCTTCCAACGCAAGACATCAGCCTCCTTGTTGCTGTGGACTGGCTGCTGTGAGCTTACTACACAGTTGTTATGATCTATTGCACTTTTCTGAATTTTTCTGAATGACTCCTATTCTACTTATTGCGCCTTTTCCCTCTGATCAGGGATCGATTCAGGACCTCTGTGAATGTGGTGGGCGACTCCTACGGCGCCGGCATCGTGTTCCACATGTCCAAGGCCGAGCTCGAAGAGCTGGACGCGCACGCGGCCAAATCTGACGACATCGAAATGATGACAAAGAACCAGTCCTACTACGACGACATGAAGAACCACCACGAAAACAATTCAAACCAGTGCGTCTTAACCGCTTCCACTTCCGCAAGTGCAACTGCTACCGCTACCACCACCGCTAACAATTCTGTCGTAGTAGATGAGTGCAAGGTACACCTAATGCTTACGGACATAGAGACTTGTATGTAACCCTCTCCGCTGTGGCATGCTCACCCTGCACGTTGAACTCATCGCATCTTTGTACGTTATAATGTCATTCCATGCATTATTATTCTACCACAGAAGTTAAGGAAACACAAACGGTGCACATGTATGTATCTCTATCTCTGTTTTTCACTTTCACTGGAATAACAGCCTTTGTGTTTTGCGGCGAGCCAGAAAATCTCTGGCTTTAAACTCAGAAGGTTAGATTTGATCGCGCATGCAGATGAGGAATAAGTTAGCTCCTTTTCTAAACAGACCTGTAGTGTTTCTCACACTTGTTTCAAACGACATAATCCTCACAATCATGTTCATGAATTATTTAGCTCATAGAGTCACTCCATGCCCATATATGAGGCAAATAATTCAATTTACTAATAGAATAAAGAGGTTAATCATTCTAGTCAATATAGTGCAGCAGGGGGATTGTGTTATATCTGATTAGCACTTCATATATTCCCTATATAAGCACCTAGCACACTTGCACTGACTCATTCCTAGTCTTGATTCTGTTTTGACACCATCTATTTCTGCCCATTGTGAAAACTGCTGTGAAATTCAAAAGCTGTGAAGCAGCTTGCATAACGGAAAATACAACGCACTTTGGATCACGCCTGTGACTTTGTCGAAGGCATTCAGAATAATCTGTACGAATTAAAGGGCTTGTTCTCACATATACACGGATGTGCACGGCAGAGAAAGGTCTGCTGATGAGCCTTCATTCATTTATTAAAGGCTCAAAGATGTTGCCTAGCAACAGCGCAAAACTGTCACAGCCGCAATCGTTGTGTAGGGAGAAAAAAAGTTATGGCCTTTTCTTCTACACTGAGGAGCCGTTTATTAGCTGTCATTTACATATAAATGCAGCACAAAGGATCGGTATTCCCAGTGTCTGCCATGATTGTCTCTTTCTTTGCTTTCCCTTGTAAATAGTTTCACTCACACATTGCTAACCTCATTTTTGAGTTGCACGCAGCTGTAGAATGCTAACTAACATTAAGAATTAACAGTTTTGTGTAGTGTGTACCTTGTATATTATTTTCCATGTTTGTCATTCATCTTCAATCAAATTGGGTTGTGTTTTTTTTACCTGTTATATTTTGTTTTTGTCTTTTTCCACATAAATGTTCTGCAGCTGTTTTTGATGATGTAAATCCAAACGTTCATCTTTTAGCTTTACAGTAGAACATTTATATTTACTTAAAACATGTTAAAGCCAAAGCAACCTTTTTATGTGCCTTTCAGCTCAACAATAGCAAAGTTTGAAAAAAAAAAACATCCAAAGAAGTCTGGAGCATGCATATTTTCACCAAAATAACAAAATAATAAGAAGGAAAGAAATTGGTGAATATATTAAAACTTGAATAATATTATTTTCAACACATCTACGTACATATTGTTATATTTATGTTTGGTGGAGTACGTTGTGAGGTTTATCCAATGAAAAAAGGTTGGAATTTTGGACTCTAATAGAACATTTGGAATTATGTGCTGTGTTGACAACGGCTAACATTGTAGCACGTCATAGCAGAGCATACATCATGAGGTTGTCTCTCAAGTGTCTGACAACGTCGACAAGTTTCTCTGACTATAGCAAAATCACATTGACTGTGGTTTAAATCTGATCTTACAGTACAGGGTACGACGGCAACTCAGGAAATTATGGCAATATTTAGCAACGTTGACTGTGGTTGTGGTTATACAAAATATAGCAGGCTAAACATTTCCACTTAAAAACATATTTACATTAGAGCAAATGACCTGTGCAATAAAGGCCATAAAAATATATGGTAATACACAAATTCAACTACTAGTGCTACATCCCATTGCATTCCAAATCCGATTAATAATATTTAAAGTATTCACTAATAATGGATTCAGTATGCTCTAGGCTTCTGGCTTAATGCAAATGTCTCAATTAAAGCATTAGTTTGTTCAATTCTGTAGGTGACAATAAATATCTAGTCATGTGTGGTATTTTAAGCTTTGATCCACAGATCTGTCAGAAACATACAGTAAGTGCATGTGTGTACATGTACGTGTGCCTTATAGATGTGCCTGCTAATTGCTTTCAGGTAACCTTAGCCACTAACGGCTCTGCTGCGGAGTGCACGCTTGTTGAGGAGGAGCCATGGAAACATGAATAATGGCAGCACAGAGATACCCTGCCCCTGGGATCCACAAGCTTTCCTACCTGGTGATAAAAAAAAAAAAAAGAGTGAATGACGAACTGTTGCGTAAACAGAAATACTAATTGTTTTCTATGTAGATTCGTTTTCTTTTTAACTAGTCCCTCTAAAGGTTTATTTTGTAGCTGTCTACCTGACTTATGATGATACTTATTCACTTAACCGTGAAGTATATAACAAAGGTATACTTTGCCTGTTAGAGCACAACTCTATCCTTTTTTAGCAGATACTTGCACAACATACATGTACTTCAAGG